CTTTTCTATATATATATAATTTGCCTTGATTTTTACGTTATGGAGAAGAAGAAGAAGAAGAAGAAGGGCATAGACGTGCTATAATGAAACTTGTGCCCACTAGACTCCAACAATTATTTACTATTAAAAGAAAAGTTAAAAGACGCCCGCTACCCTCCAACAATTATTTATTATTAAAAAAAAAGAAGTTGAAAGACGAGGGAGTGAATTTCACTGTAGCTCAACATATACCTAATTGCGAAATTTTTTCCTTTATGTGGGAAAAATTTAAGCCTTGGAGTTAGATTTGTTGGTTTTTTTTTATTGGCTCGTTATTTTTTGAAAGATTTTTTGGAAATATATATTTTTTATAATAAAAATACATTTTTTATTCTAGAATTAATAAAAAATTTAACCCCGGGATTAAAAATTTATTAAGCTAATAAGTAGGTGTTCAAAATTTTCTAACCTTAAAAAAGATAAAACATAAGCTTTGTATTTAAGATATTTTAACATTTTAACATTTTTTTGAAGTTTTTTATAGCTTAGGTTTCCAAATACTTTTTAAAAAAATTATTTTTACAACTTTACACAAAATTCAATAATAATCAATTTACTTTATTTCTTGTGTTACTTCTACAAAATCAATGATATGATAATAATTTTAAATGGATTTCACACAAATGTTTTCATTACTAAACACTTTTATAAGTAAAAAACAAGGAAACCCTAAAGATAATAGCAAATGATAATCAAACCACATGTTTGACTATGGATGCCCGCACCTTTCAAAGATAATTAAGAAATTCAACATCAATTTTTCTTTTTATTGACCAATTAAATGAGACAAGGAGGTGCCTCCAATGAATCATAACTCTCTCTCTTTCTCTATGTAATTGATGTAGACAAGAGCGCTAAGTCATTATCAAGTAAGTTTTAATGAATTATTTAATTATGGTAAGAGTGCAAAGGCTACCCCTAATGACATTATCGTGGGTAAAGTATATTAGTTTTATGTAGATCATTTCTTAATTGATGTCCCCTTTCCTTAATTGTTTATTAAGGTTTGGTTTAGCATCGCCGTAAAATTCAGAACACTCAGGGAGCAGATAAACTCAGGTCAGAGAAAAATTAAGAATTTAACTGCACCGATTAAAAACTTGGGTTAAAGAATTAAGCTGATCAATTTAGATTTGACTCGATTAAAATTTAAAATTTAATTTTTAATGATTAATTTTTTATTATTAAATCAACACAGTTTTAATTATTTTAAAAAAATTAAAGGAGAGTTGATTATTCTCACTTATGACCCGGCTTGGTTAGGGTTGGATTTCACTACAAGTATGATTATCAATATACATTGTTTAACCTTTTCCCTAAACTACGTGCTGGTGAGGTTGTCATGAATTTGGAATTTGCTACTTAGATTCATAGGGAAAAGATAGAATTATTTACGAGGTTTTTAATATATTCTGGCATTGCTTCCAAACCTTGTATCCCTTCCTTTTTTAATAGGGATATGCCGGGTTTCAAAATAGTTACAAGTGTAAATTTTATTTAAATTTTTTTCAATTAGTTTATGTATTAATTGAGACTAGATTTTATTTTTAAAAGTTAACTATTGGTATTAAAAATATATTTATCTTTTATTTTGATCAACAATAGATTATCCATGTTAAGATTGAGGATATTAATGTGTTTCTCACCTATTAATATATTTGAAAAGTTAATACAAATAAAACTCATCGAAAAGTGAGATGATAAAGCAATTATGAAATATTTTGTTAAAACAACCTAAGTATGAGTTGTTTTATGAGTTTGTGATAGTTTTTAATGGAATAATCATGCATAAATCTTGTTAAGATTTAGTGTGAAGAAATTCACTTACTATTGACAAGGAGTTCTAATAAACTTAAATTTAATGAGTCTAAAAAGGTCTCGTATCTAGATATATTGTTTCATGGATTTCTTCTAAAAAAGGATCTTCACTTTATGAATTCCCTCTAGAAAAGGAAAGGAGTCCGACTCTATAAGCTTACTACAGGGGAGGAGTCTCACTTAATGGGCTTCCTTTGATGTCATAGGCTCGCCCTGTAGGAGAAGTCTCACTAGATGGGCTTACCCTCGAGAATGAACCCGACTTCATGGTCTCTTTCTAAGAGGAAGCCTAATACCGTGTGCTTCCTCTAAAGGGAGCTCAACTCTGTGGTCTTTATTAGAGGGGAAGTTCGACTCCATGGTCTTCCCTTATAGAATAAGCCTGACTTCATAGGCTTGTTCTATGAAGCGTATATAGATCTATTTTTCATTTTTTATGAGCTCATACAACTTGTTAGAGCCCAATTCTTTATTGAGAATTTTTTAGAACCTTACAAGGGTATCTTAGTGTTTTATATTGATTTAGTACGTATTATTTTGAGTAGATTACATATCAAAATATCACAAGAGTGAAATTATACTTTAACCCCTCCCATCCACCAAAAAAAAAAGAAAAAAAAACGAAAACTCACGAGTTATAAATATATTATGAATCCTTTAAACTCAATATTCATAATATCTTCATTCTTAACATTATAGGTATAAAATATTTTTAAAGTCTATTTATGTAAAATATCATTGTATTTTCTCTCTCTATAAAGTTATTGAATTAAGCATTGAAAAGTCTCCACATCCATCATAGAATACCCTTTACAGGTACTAACTACCAGCCACGTTGATTTATTAAACATCACTTGTTATCAACTTTCAATAACTTGGATTTTTCATATCAAACTATCAAATATCTTGATTTAAAAAAATAAATTAGATTGCGTGAAATAAGAAATGAACTAATTATCTGAAACATCAAATTTATTTCTAAACAACTTGTATTTCAGGATTCATAAAGATCAATCCATTTCATTTCTATTTTTTTATTTTATATGTGAAAAAAAAGTGAAGTAAATATAAAATTGAAAATTTATTAAAATAATTAATAATTAATAGCTATCAAACCGGATTTAACTTGGTAGACTTATTTAGTGATTCATAACTTGAAATTTGGCCCGTATTTTAAATATTTTTTTATATTTATCCAATCGGGTAACTTAACAAGTTAATTAGTAATTGATATAAGCTGGTTATAAATTCAATAGAATCAAAATCAACGAATATATTTTTTTTGAAAAAAACTAAAACTGAATTGTCAGTGTACCGGTCCAATCGTAGCTGGGCACGACAACCAGAAACAATAAACTCAGTCACTCATAAATCAATTCGATAATCTAAGGGCTTAGAGTTGGGTACCGGTCCAATCGTAGCTCGGCACGACAACCAGAAACAGTGGCGTGAAAATGAAACTTTTGAAATTAGGTGAGATTAGCAAATGATATTATCAGTGTGTCATGGATGGGGTAACCGTTCATCCCAGTAATCTCTCTCCCCTCTCTTCCTTCTTCCAGAACCAAACGACAGTGCCACGTCACTATCGCTTGGCTCTTAATTAACTTCTTTTATGGGAGGCCACTGTCCCCCTAGAAGCGAGAGCGTGACTTGTACACGGGACAAGTGCTTCTACACATGTGCCACGCCATCTCTGCCGTTGGATTTCATTGGGCTCGGAACAGGATCAAGAAAGACGGATTCTCTAGGCCGCCTTGTCTTCTAGAAGCTTTCGCACCTGCCAGATGTCAGGGGCGTGATCTACGGAAAAGTCGAGCATCTTCTCTCGGCTGCGCCAACCTGAGCCAGCCGATTCAGCAGTTTACAAGATAATATAGCAGTTTTGTTGGTTGTAAATATTAAAATATTTCTTTTTTATTTTTTAATATCATTTTAATGTAAATTTTTGAAAAAAAATTTTAAAAGGCCGTCTCAATTACATTGTTAAACAATTATTTAATGTAAAACCAAATTAATTAATCATTAATTTATATTTTTTATACCATTAAAAACCATTAAATCATGCTTTTAATATAAAATCAAATAATAGATTTCATGGATTTAAGTTTATTGGCCTGTTTTTATCATATAGATGGTCTTAACTTTAGTATTTACAGTTTTTATACATGGTGAGGTTGAAAAATATTTTTAATAAAAAAATTAAAATATTTTTCATGAGCTAATAAAACTAAATTTAAAAAATTTTATAGGCTCGATAATAACCACAAGAAAATCATTATAAAACTTAAATCAATATTAATATATATAAAAGTGACAAAGATTATGAGTATTTTTTTGGACTTAAACATTTCTTAAACCTTATTTATGTCTTTATGTCTTGCAATAATATTGAATTTTATGTTATTTTTAATATAAAGTCTATAGAAATGAGCTTTGCCTTTCAGTCCCATTTTTTTAACCTTTTTTAGAGTTTTGTTTATATAAATTTTATTAAAATAAATATTTAAGTTTTGCCTTATAATGTCATTCTTTTTACGCTCTTAGAGTTTTATTTATATAAACTTTATTAAAATAAATATCTTAAAAAATATTTAAAATATTTAATATAAATATCTTATAAATATCTAATCTACATATTTATGAAATATTTATGAAGAAGTGTTTATTATATAATATGACATCATGCAGAGCCAATTGGATTCAATCCAAGAATTAATATTATTATGTAATTTTATCATGTATTATTAATATATTATCTTAAAAAATTATAATTTGCTTTGGGTATCATAAAAAAATACCATGTAATTATCAACTCTCATTTCTCATTTAATTCCTTTGATTTAATACCATACGTATTTCCCAAGAAGAAGAAGAAGAAGAAGAAGAAATGACAGCCAAAACAATCACCAAGCCAAGCCAATTCCAAATTAATAGCCAAACCCCCAATTTAGAAGTTCCCAACGGCTCAGCATTCTCTCAAAAAGCCAATAAGAGAAAAAGAAATAAAATAGAAAATAGAAAATAGAATGCACTCTTTCTTCTAGAAGAGCTTTATTATATTAATAATAAAATAAATAAATATTAAATTCTACGTCAGTGCCCTTAAAAATCTCCTGCAAAACAGACATATGTCCCCACACTCGCACTGTTTTCTTTTCTTCCTATAATTAATTAATAATTTTTTTATTATTATCCTTGACTTTTCTCTCCTTGTATATATAAAACAGTCTTTCTCCTCTCCATCTATCTTGCTCACCATTTCGCTTCCAAATCATCTTCTCTTATTCCCATTTTGCCCTTAAAACCTTCTCTTCCAATGTACACTGCGTTCGCTCCCTCCCCTCTAACCGCCGCGACCTCCGTAATCACCGCCGCGGCAACCTCCAACACAGTTCAGAAGCCTATCCTTTTATCACCGGTTAAAACAACCGCCGATCGTTCTTGTCGGAGGTTTCAAATCAAAGCCTCGGTGTCAACGTTTCCTGACTCGACCCGAGTCGACTCAAGGTATTCAACGCTGAGTCTGTACGATATACTCCGGGTGAATCCAGCTGCGTCGCAAGTGGAGATCAAGTCAGCGTACAGGAGTCTTGCGAAGATTTACCATCCTGATGTCTTTTTGAGTCATGATCGTGATCATGATGACGAGCAATCGGACGGTGGAGATTTTATCGAGATTCATAGTGCTTATGAGACGTTATCCGATCCGGCTGCTAGAGCGGTTTATGACCTGTCTTTATCGGCAGCGGCGAGGTGTTTTTACAGGAGAGCGGCCGTGTATTCGGGCGGGGATTATACGACCCGAAGATGGGAAACAGATCAGTGCTGGTAAAGAGAATGGAAAACTGACCAGGCTCATGGAATCTTATAGTTTAGGATTGTTCCTCTGTTTTTTTTAACATACAGTTGAAACATGTCACTGTCGTGGCAATGTGTAAGGCGGTAGATTTCGGTTTTTTTTCTTTTAACGAAATGACAAAAAGGAGGAGTGAATATAATATTTTCCAGTATTTAAATGTTTGCTAATCTTATCAAATGTTTTATGGGATCATAAAATTAAAATGGAATCTCCATGGATCATGGATACCAGTTAAATCTTGATCCATTAGAACGGTAGCTACACAGCAGGAGCTTGTTTTTATCACTCCATCGGTGGGTCAATCCACCAAACTCTTTTTCACTAGATAAGTGGATCAATCTAACAAACCTTCTACTATTCAAAGATTGGATTAATGTCCAAGAAGGTGAGAGCTTGACGAGTCAATCTAATCTACCTGGGTTGAGTTTCATGTTAAACACCAAGTGAAAGATAACTTGATCATTGATCCAAAACTTGATTTGCATCGAAGTTAGGGTCATGTCATGACTACCGAGGTTGATTTGGTGAATAGGGAAGAATCTTTAAGCATTCACAGACAAATTGTACAAATTGGGAGGAGAAAATCTAAGGCACTATATGTATTTGAACCACCAAACATTTGTACATAGTTTCTCCTACTTCAGAACTCTGCCTTGCATTCTGCACGGTGGTTGACAATGGGATCATCGTTTACAGGTCACCAGCAAGTAATTAAGGACATGCATGAGAACGCGGATGTTTGCAAGCTCGGCACCAGTGACGGCAGGTGAGGTCCTTGCACGGTTCACAATCTCAACGACTTGCTCAACAATTGGCCGTGCGTATAATACAATCATTTGGTCAGTTGGCAGTATTGCAGCTGCCACCGCCGTCATCCACTCAAGCTTTCGGGGAGTATCATTGTTTATATCACAGGCCAGCTGCTGCAGCAGAGAGAGTAATACTCCCTGGCTTAGAGGGAAGGGAGACAGAGACATGATACCCTGCAATCCAACCTGGCAAAAATAACACGATCTACTCTTCTCAGGTCCATTTCAAAGTTGAGATGAAAGCCACAACAAGCCCAGCAGATTAGCAAGGGAAACGAGAGCAAGAAAATCACACATCTTCCATTACCACCTAGTACCAACACTAGATAGAATGAGAATTACCTCACTGCACAGCCAGGATACAACAGCCACGTCACTTCTTTGGAGCGCAATAGTGAAAGTCTCATCGTATTTGCATTCAGATATTAATCTTTTTAGCTCTTTCGTTGGATCCAGCTGTGTTTCAACCTGAGTCATCAAAGGGGGAATGCTTAGAATTACCTCCATGATAACAAATTGTTTTTGACAGTCATGAGCAGCTGAAATTGTTAAGATCAAGAAACACAACAGACCTTCTCGTAGAAGCTAGCCAAGGGCCCGTCGCTAGGTTGCATGGCCAATGGATTTGTTGCACCTGAGTTTGCGGCAATAGCTGACAGCTGTCTTCGACTATCAGCCAGCTCCATGCTCAAGGTTTTTGTCATTGACGATGCTGTGTTGATTGAATCCTGCATTTAACACAGAATAAATAAATGATGCAGGGGAAATATGGGGAAAACAGACAGCATGGAACTAAATGTAAACAATCTGGCAAGTTGCTTAAAAAATTTGGATGTTGTTAAGGCGAAAATATAATTATTTAGTGCATAAAAATCCAAATGGACAACCCTCGTCCAGCATCCATACAGCAAAACCCCGACATTTTAGTTTTAAATAAATTAATGAAGAGGGCTGTGTTGTAATGGATTTCATAATGTAGCACAAGAATACACACCCTTAAAGTGAGTGCCAAAGAAGAATGGGCAACTTCAAAATGCTGCTGTGCTGCAGCTGTATGCTCGACCATCCCTCTCTGAAAGGCAGCATCTACTTGTTCAAACTTGGCTTTGCATGACATCTCAAAGGCAGGAATTACTGAGGCTTCCAGACCAGCCTTCAAAGAATCCTGCATGAGAAGATTTATTTATTATCAACAATGCCTGACACACTCCCTAGATAAGTTATATGACCTTACACTCTCTAGAAAGATAAAGTTGAGAAATCTCATTCAATAGAAAACCATTAACTTGGACCCACCAAACCAGTTCCTCGTAGTATTTTGCGAAAAAGATGGCCCTAGCCTTCAGCTATTGTGTGTGTAGTGGCTGCACTTGCAGCTTGAACCTGCTACATCGTGACTGCAAGCCCAGGACTTTTACCATTGATTAATGGACGGACATATGCTCAAGCATTCTAAAAAATTATGATGACTTCTGCATACCTGGAGAGCTTGCTTGCCAGAAGTTTGAAACTGTGCTTGAATTTGCCTAGCAACGGTAGCCTCAAGTTTCGAATTAACTGATTTTTCCAGTTGATTCACAGCCTTAACACCAACTCCTCTCTGGAGAGAGAGAGAGAGAGAGAGAGAGAGAGAGGCAAAGAGCATCAGCTAACAGTCAATTTCTGAAAAAAGGCATCCGATTATCAGATCTCTTACCTGGAAAGACTCAAATATAACTGAAGATACTGTTTTATCAATGACCGGAGATATTGTGCGAACTGCAACCTGTACAACTGAAGCCAATTCTTTCTTCGGTGCTTTCTCTAATATGGCTGGCAAGTCCTTACTGATAAAATTCAAGACCAGACTTGTTATCTGCTGCATGTGATCTTGCAATAACCTCTCATTCTTTGCATTCTCTTCTTGAAATTGAGCACACGGAGCATCAGTATTCGCTTTGATGGCTTTCTCAATGCTCCGTCCCAAAGCCGTCTCCAGTCTTCTACATTCTTTAGAAACGGGGACTTCAATCATATTTGACATCTGCTTATGCATTTCCTTTTGTGTGATCACTAGCTGGAAAATGGAAGGAAAGAAAGAAAGAAAGAACACCAATGTCAAAACTGGATGACTGGATAATACAAGGATTAAAGCACAATAAGGTTCTGTACATTATTCTTTTAAGATGCAACCCTAGAAACTAGAAAACCATAATTTTTTTCACAAAATCTATTTACCTCTATTAGCGAAGATTGTGCTATATAGCATAGAGAATTATGCATGGTGAGTGCACAGAAAAATCCCACCATTCATTGGCAAGACCCACATGTATGACCCTCAAAGTCAATGGAACATGCCGTAAGAATTTATTCATTGGCAAAAACAAAAACAATAAGGAAAATGAAAATCTTCATTAATTCCCAACCCAGTCATGCACAAGGACTAACAAAGAGATTGCAGCCAGATACAGTAGCACAAGGTTGTTGCTTGTGATCACTTATGTTCCTTGTCAAATCTTTTAAGTTCAAGACAACATCTAGCAAGAAAATAACACATGATGCATAAGGTAGGGTATTTTCCAGGGGCGAAGTCTAAGGAATCACCTGATTAATCGATTGCTGCATAGCCAAAATTTGAGAAAAACCCCCATCCGTAGCAAGGAGATTTGAAGCCCTGACAGGTTCATTCAAAGAATTTTCTGAATTAAAAGTGCCTGGAGGTTGAGAAGATGAACCCGATGCTTGAGAATTTCTCCCCTTCTGCTTCCTCCCTTTTGTACTTGGAGTAGTTGACAGTGGACCAACTGCTGACACAGAAGACTCAGAAACTTTTCCAGATACATTTTTTTTTGAGTCATGGACTTCATCTTTGCCAGCATTAGAAGGTGGGGAAAGAGACTCACTAACAACAACACCATCAACTTGTCCTTGTTCCTCCACAATATTTGATTCTGGTGGCAATGCACAGCACTCTCTTGTCATCTCAATATCAAGATCTGAAGCCCGGGAGCAAAGGAGATTTTCCTTGTTTTCAAAAACAGGCCTTTTGGATTCTCCTCGAATACTAAATTCACCATCATGAGTGGATCTTGTTTCACCCACTATTTTAACTTCCACCTCAGCATTGGAAACATCATTATTGACAACCACATCCAGAAAATTTGAGTCAACCTCACTTTTTCCCTCATTAACTTTGGTAATTTCAGAGGATGAAGCACCCATTAAAATCTCAGAAGGGGTTATTAGATGAGGTGGATGTTTAAATGTAACAGGAAGATTAAGAGTGGTAGAATTATTTTGTACAATTTTCCTCTCATCATTCCTCGAGTCACTATCCAAGGAAGGCACATTGGATGAATTTGAACAAATAGGGTCCATTTGCTGGTCATCTGAATGATCGATAGCTGGTTGGTTGCTGGATGCAGGACCTGGCTCAAATCTTCCCCCAACTGCAAACTCAGTAAGATCTCTAGTTAAGCGAGGATGAGGAGGCGAAGGAGCACAAACAATATCAGCATCACTAGTTGATGAGGCTAAAGCAATAGTTCTGGATTCCATATTTGAAGTGGGAGCATCTTGTTGCATAGTGGCCACATCAACTGATGCGGAGCTCAGAAGAACATCAGAATATTTACTTCCACGTGACTCCAAGGCAGCATATCCATCAGCATTAGGTACATCATGCATTACACTGGAATCTGACCTCTCTGAACCCACATTCTCCATCAATGGTGGCAGGCACTGGCATAATTCCAAAGTATACTGTTGAATTGCCTTTGTCTGTACGCAATAAACTTGAGCGACAGATTGGCCATGCAGGACATCACTCATCCCGGTTAAACACAAGATAGGCATAGTGACAGTAAACTCTGATATGCAATCCATACGAGCTGATGCTGGATTAGGACCATAATCTAAGTGCACGGCATAAATAGCATTCCTCTTTGCGTTTGCAAGTAAAATAAGGCCCATCTGAGACAATGCTACTACTTGATTGAAGAATGCCTCCTCAACTCGAGGTTCAGCTGAACTCTTCAGCTCTAATGTCTGGGTGCAATTCAACAAATCAGAATCATTAGGCAGGAGCCAACCTTCTTCACTGGCTGAGACCCAAATCTTCAATTCCCTAATCTGAGGCCCCTGTAAAAAATTTTGGGAGATGAATTAACAATAGGTGTAAACAATGGCTTTGGAAAATAAAAAATTAAAACCGGACTCTACAGTGACTTGGGATCAAAATTAAATTTCTGAAGACTCCAAACAAACAAATAAATGCGAACTTGCTTGGCAATCTAACTGAACAAAAGCTCAGGTTCTCATCACCTGGCTACCAAAGTGCAATTGCAAGACTATGAAAAATGAAAATAAAGATCTTAGTATGTACTGCTGTGACAAGAATGATGTGATCTGGCTGGTCAGTAGCAATCAAGAACATGGCTGAATAAACAGGTTGGCCATCATGTGGTCTCAAAACCACAAGTGGTGATGCCTTGAGATCGTCCCAAATCTTTATCTGTCACATAAAATGAAGTTCATTAGAAACTTCTTTTAATTTCTGAGAACAGTGAAGAATCATTAGAAATATGCATAAGGCACACCCAAATGGGGTTGCATTTGGGATGTGCAAACGCAACATGCAAGGAAAATGTCTCTTGAATTGCTATCAGTTCAAACTGAAATAAAAGCTCCATGACCAATAAATCCAATAACACTAAGCAATATAATAGAGAAAAAACTCAAAGCTGTATTTTCTTTATTAAACTGCAGTTTGAGCTATGCAGAATTTACTTCTTTTGACTATTGTAAGAGCTGGGTTTTCTGTAGGATTACCAGCAATTTTATTTCTCCAATTCAAATGATCGATTAAAGAGGCCCACTCCTTGGCCTTTCTATTCATAACTCCACCAAGGACATCCATGAGTTTGCTTCTCAAAAGCTGTCTCCGCTTTCCTTTAACCAAATTTCTTTTATGTATTGGAGTGATTGCATAGAGAAATTAGACATGTAACTACAGGAAAGCACAACTTCAAAATTCCTATTACAGAAGGATACAAAAGAACTCGTGTGCTTTTTAAATAAATAGTTTGACAAAAGAAATTAAAAATGATAGCTGCACATAGAACTATAAGTATTGAGTGCATCCAAAGATAAGGAGAAATGCAAACCGTGCCATCCATAGAAGAAGAAACCAAACGGGTGGTCATCCATTGGCACATTGACAAAGCAGTGACTTCTCCATCATGTTTACCAATGAATTGGACCCCATCAATCAGCTTGTCAACAGGACACTGAAGAGGTGCCTCAGAGGAATAGACCTCACCCTTTCCAACTTTGTTAGTATCAATTCTCAGAACTTGTTTACCAATTCCGACCACCAAAATTTCCTGACAAGAAAAGGAAAGCAAGATGGCGTATGCAATACGACAAAGCAAACTTCATGAACAAGAGAAACAGTAAAAACACCACCTACAATTGATGATATTATAAAAATTCTAACATTTATGATAAGCAGTCAGAATGTCATACCTGTTTATAACAATGCCAACAGACTTTTGGGTGCTTTATTTCCCCCTCACCAACTACTTGGATAGCAATAATAGTCTTTCCTGTAATCTGTGGCTTATCTTCCTCATCTGGACCTTCAGAGATCTTCCAGACATTAATCCGTCCATCTATTCCAGCACTGCACAAAAGCATGTCAAGTAAGCCAGCGACAAGAAAGAAGAGGAAATGATGCTATACAAACAGAAAGCTACCTAGCCAAAAGATGAACATCCTCGGCAAAAAAAGCCATGCAAGTGACCCTCTGAAAGAACAAAACACAGACTTAGACAGTAATAATAATCAGAGAAAATCAATAAGCAACCTTAACAAATCTTCATCCCCACTTCAAAAACAGTCCATTCAGCAAAAATAAAAACATAAACATCAATTCTTGTCACACATTAATTAAAACCCCCAAAATCAACTTTGCTTTCAAACATTGATCATATCACATCATGCTAATGCACAACTGTGGCAACACCACCACTTAAGGTAATGAAGTCTTACAACAACAGCAACTACAACACTAATGACTGCCAACAACACACACAAAAATTCAATGAACAGGAACCAACAGCATCCACGTTGCATTCCAATCTCGCAAAAGCCATAACTTAATCATTTCCACAACAAAACAGAAAAAACCCACAATCATTGCATCACCAAAACACATAAAAACAAATTAAAGGGACACAAGAATTAAGGAAAACTAACCTGAGACTGAGTCCGAAACAAAGACCTCAATGCGGTATTGATATTAAGAATCCGAATAGTCCCTTGCTTCAACCCATAACAAATATAACTCTTATTAACAGCAATTTGCCTTCCTAAACACAGCTGAGGATCCGAAATGTACTTGGTTATCGGCGTAACTTCAAGCCGCGGCTGTGCCTCCCCTGGCAACCTAACATCCACATCATACACTACATCTTCACCAACCACCCTCCTCCCCTTAGGCATCTTACTGCTAGTACAGCTAGGCGTCCGAACAGGACCCATAAAATTATTGCTAAGAGCCCCGGATAAGTCTTGGGCTGGCGGAGGGAGTGGTGGTGGTTCTTGATTTTGAGGGGGGCGGAGGAGGGCCATGATTTCGGCACCAGAACGGTCTTGGGGTTGTTGGTTCGGGGTGAGAGAGGGTGTAGGATAGGAGAGGGAACGTTGGGGGTGCATGTTAGCAAGAGGTGGTGGGTTGTTTGGGTTAGGGTTTTGTTGGGGAGGGTAAGAGGGTGGGAAGGGGAAGGGGAAGTGGTGGGTCCTATTGGGGGGAGGATAAGAAGAGGAAGGGATTTGTTGGGGTGGAAGAACCACGAGGTTGGGAGGAAGAGGGGGTGAAGGGTTTTGGGGTGGTGGTGGTGGTGAAGTGGGTGTGGGCATGAAGAATGTGTTCATGTCAAGAGGAGGAGAATGTGATTGTGATGGCGACGGTGATGGCTGCTGTTGGTGATGATTTCGGGATGCCATGATGAGAGGGAAATGAAGGAAGCGAAGAGGCGGGGACGAGGGAAGATGAAGGGGGAGGGGGAGGGGCGTTTTGGGTATGACAAAGTTATTTAAACCCGTGTTAAATAAATGTTATAATTAAATTAGTGGGTCATTAGTTGAACTAATGGACGATTGATCTGATTTAAGATTAGTATAAATATAGTTTACGAACATTAATGATAAATGATGAGGGCATTATTTCAGAACCTCAAAATACTTGACCCATCATTAGAGAGAGAGAGAGCGCGCGCTCGCTTATGATATGATTATTTGTTATCCCCACTATTAAAGGACACTTGTTAAGATACGTAGAGCATAGTACAAAACAAAATCTAAATTATTTTTAAAAAAAAAATGCAATGGATTTTTAAGTGCCATTGCCTATTAAAAACATGATTTACAAAATTATTTTTATTATTTTATTAAAATATAATAATTTAATATTTCAATGCATTTCATATTAAAATATTTTTCTTTTTCAAGACCTGTAGTTATAGAAACTTGATGAAAGAATAATTAATATAGTCACTGTATGAGAATGCCATGTAAATTATTATTTTTTTTAAAATTTAATTTTTTTTGTTAAAATTTAATATATTTTAAATTGTTTTGATGTCTTGATATCAAAAATAATTTTTTAAAAATAAAAAAATTATTAACATGTATTTCAGTACAAAAAATTATTTAAAAAGTAACCACAACCATATTGCTAAACAAGTTTATAAAAGCTTGATATAGAGCGAAAACATATAAAAAGAGAGTTTGAAATCAATTTTCTCAAGTTTCACTCCATTTTAAATCCAAACATTTTGAATTCAAACATCCAAGATGGAAATCTAGAATTATATATTTTTTTATATTCTAGCCATACAAAACAAATCTTCTAAAAGCATTTTATACATTAATTAATATTAATTTTAATTATAAAAATTAATCTTACTAACATTAATATCATGTGAGAATGATATAGAGTTGTCTTCTAAACACATAATACTCTCATCAACATTATTAATGTAATGTAAGGAGAAAAAAAATACTCACGACTTCTTGAATAAAAAGAAAAAAATTAAAGGTTATAAATATTTTTTGAACAATCTATATAAAATGTTTATAATCTTCATTTTTTTATAACATATTTTTAACATTTATTATACATAAATTAAGAATAAATATTTTTATTTTCAAAATTTAATATTAATTTACTATAATTTCTCATTAAAAAATCACTAACTTAATTACTGGAATGTCTTTAAATCCCATAAAAAAAACTATTTTTCAAGAATCTCTTCTGCACTCTCAGTTATAAGAATAAAAGATTAACATGAAAGTATAATTATCTATTATCTAAACATTTAGAAACTTAAATTTGTTGATATATTAGATTATAGAATATCATCAATATTTATATTTTATTGATACCAATATCCTAAACTCAATTGTTAAAAATAAAAAGTATAAACCATGGTAATATGATAATTCTTAATCTTCTCATTTTCATTAATAATTTTTTATGAGTGTTTCATGAGATGAGTACTTAAATATTATTTGTTTATGTGATTTAACCTGAATTTAAAATTATTTTTTAAATTGTTTTTTGTTTAAAAAGATATTAAATTGATTTTTTTTTGTTTTTTGATAATTTTAATGTCTTAATATTAAAAATTAATAAAATTAAAAATTTATTTTAATACATTTTTAATTAAAAAACAATTACAAAAACATCACGCATGGGATTACCAAACAAACACTTAATCACCTTCAAACCGCTGAGCATTAAGGTGTGAGTTTGTGATGTGTAGTTAACATGAACAATGAAGTAAATATGCTCCAAGGCTTTATTCCATCTTTCAAGGCTATCTGCTCAAGAATTCTTCTCAAATTTGTGGCGAGATCCATCCCAAGTTTGGCACACCCAAAACTCTGGCTCGACTATACATAGACAGGTCTCCTATAATCATTTTCCCTTAAGTGGAGTTGAATCTAATGCTTGAAAAAAAAAAAAAAAGGTCCAATTTGTTCTTCCTTTACACCTCAGGCCTTAGACAACATCTTTTGCATGGATTATCCATGGCATGGAACAGTGGCTTTAGGAAGGTGGAGTTGGAGACTGACTCTGCTATTCTAGCTAATGCTTTAGTAGGCTTTAAAGCTCTGTTTTTGGAGAGAGGGTCCTTGTTTTAAAAACATGGTTCTGAATGCTAAAAAACAGCCCAGCAATCTGAAATTTATTTCTACCACCAAACACGTAATTAACCAGCCATGTTAAGGTAGCCATGAATGATATCACAACAAATTGATCAGGATCCTTTACCTTATAGAAAAAGGTATGAAACGCATTAAACTTTTTTGTATTCTCACCATGACTATCAAGGAGATTTTCACTCTATTGCTTTGCTTCGAAGGGAACACGACTTCTCACATGACGTCCAAATCCTTCCCATTAACCAAAAACCAAAACCCACCACACCACACCACATTGCTTTCACGTTTTCAAGATCCCAGAACAAACCACCCCACCACTCTCTCTCTCTCTCTCTTTTATAGACGCCCCGCTGCCTTGTTTTTGCAACAGAGAAGAAACCAAGAAAACCCTCGTCAAGAAAGATGTGTTGTGGATGTAGAATGTGCATGCTGTGCACTTGTGTAATACTAGTGGCGATCGTGATTGGTTTATCGTTTGGTCTTGGAGTTTTCAAGAATGGGTTTCATAAGGTGAAGGACCATCTTGGTGTTTGTGATCCTAATGCAATTGGTTCACTTTGTGGTGGTGGTAAAGTTTCAAGGCCTTTCTTGGGTTTCCCAGCTTCTCCTCCTGGCCCTTTCTAGGGATAAGAAGACCTCTCTATTCTGCAAGGGTTGTAATTGTTCTAGGAGTCTGTGTGGTGTGATTATTATTATTATTATTATTATTTTTTATTGAATTCCAGTTTCTTCATGTTACCGACAGGAAGTTCACTTCAATTGAATTCTATCTAAAAAGTATTCGCCATTGTTTATGATTTTGATGGTGCTGATCAGAGATTCACAGGCTATGGCCGCTGCTAAACTGATCTATTGTGTGTTTGTTGTTATGGTAACTTTGAGAACATGATATATGCATAAGTGTAGTATTACGTCGGTGGAAAATTGGAATCCAAACCTCACTAGCTAGTCATATAGTTAGGTCATGATGAAGCAAATCTTACATGAATGACATGCTTTCAACGGTAGAGAAAAATGAATCTGTGACATGGAAAAGCTTGAAAACATCAAATTAAGGGGAGGTCAAGGGCTTCCTTTGCTGCTAGCATACGTAGGTGGAAAATTGGATTCCAAACCTCACTAGCTAGTCTTATAGTTAGGTCATGATGAAGCAAATCTCACATCTCACATGAATGACATGCTTTCAACGGTAGAGAAAAATGAATCTGTGACATGGAAAAGCTTGAAAACCTCAAATTAAGGGGAGGTCAAGGGCTTCCTTTGCTGCTAACACCTGCTAGTTATGGGAGAATGGACTTGAGAAGGGGGATGGCATGAACAAGGAAGAGAGGAAGGAAGTTTACGATGGACGTTCCTATGGAGCTCCAAATAGATCAAACACCTAATTCTCTTGTTACTAAAAAACAGTCTTGGGACAAATCCCATTCCTTCCATGGCAGCTCAATTTGCTTTCTGCCTTCGTCTCTTGGGTTCAACTCTAAAGGTTTTGCTAGAGAGGAAGAAAGTAAAAATCCTGGAAGCCAAATCAAGCCTATACTAAATTTTATCATTTAGCTCCCCATTTCCCCTCAATCAAAATGAGCATATAAGCTAATGACTAAATTAAGGTTTATCCAAAACATCATTAAGGTGGTGTTTGGTTAAGATAGAAGATACAAATATAGAAATACAAAAACATATTTAATTAGAGAAATGAAATAGAGATATATCATAAAAATAATTTTAAATAATTTTTTCTACTTTTAAAATAAAAAAATATAAGAAGAAGACACGATCTCCACCTTCTCTTACATATCATAGTAGTAACCAGATATTACCCAGTATCTTAGGGAGGTATTTGGCAGTAAAAACCAACTTCTCTGACAGGTCACAAGCAAAGCAAGGCATGATTAAACCGAAAATTAGAAAGCCGAAAGCTGGAAAGTCTCCAACGTTATCCAAAAACCCAGCTCAACTCTGGTCAACAAAAACCCACCTTCTCGTCCAAGATACAAAATATTCCTTACAACTTTATATACAAACACTCACTCCAATATAAGCAAGACACAAACCTCAAAAACCCAAAGTGATCCAATCCTATCTTTTTAAAGAAAAACAACTAGAAAGATGAGAATTACTGTAATGACAGCAGATGAACAGATCATATCTCTTGAAGTTGATCCTCATGAATCTGTAACTATTGATCTTTAAACCCCATTTGTTTTTTCTTTCATTACAGCTATTTAGTGGTGTAATTTTGATTGCAGGTTGAGAATGTGAAAGCTTTACTTGAAGTTGAGGTGAAAGATCGCTTTTTTGTCTTATTTGAATTGTTAGTGAAATTGGGTCAATGGAATTTTTTTATTGTCTTTTTTAATGTTTTGAAAAACCCAATTCAAAGTAGTTCATAATGAGTTCATTTATTGTTGTATGTTCCTTTTGTGAAGTGTAATTATTGAAAAATTCTGTATCGTCATTGTTATTATTTATTAGAGCGCTCAAAGTTTCGATCTTTTCCTTTTTAGAATCCAATTCACCCAAGTTCTACGCAGGACTAAGAATTGTATAGTCTTAATTGAAGTGTGATAATTGTGCAAATTTGGGATTGCTTATGAAGTATTGATTTTGTTTTGTTTTTGGTGTGAGGGTAGACACAGGTGCCTCTCCAGCAGCAGCAGCTGCTATATAATGGGAGGGAGATGAGAAATAATGAGAAATTGAGTGCATTAGGCGTTAAGGATGAGGATTTGTTCATGATGGTCTCTAATGCTGCTGCTCTTAGGTATATGCAGTTTTATCTCTGATTATTTTACCTTTTAATTTGCTCGTTCAGATTGACCTGTCTTGTTTTTCTTGAATTTGGATTAGTAGTTAGTTTTTTTTGTTGTTTGGTGACTTTTAGATGGACTGCTTTTGTGAATAAAATAATTTGAAATGCTGGTTAGTTTCTGTAGTTTGATATCTTGGTTATGCATCCATTTGTTCAATAAGGGCATTGGTGATCCTAACATCAGTATATTTGTGCAAATTGTTTCGGGATTGAGACTTTCATGCAAAACAATAAAAAATGCAAATTTGTTTCAGTGCCCCCTCCAATAATTTGGGCTTAAATCCTGATGGATCTGCTGTGAACCCTGGAGCTTTCCAGCAGCAACTTCGAAATGATTCTAATACAATGGCTCAACTATTTCAGGTAAGATGGATGATTTTTTTTTCAGTTTTTCCCTCACCCTTCAAAATCAGGAGACTTGTGCAGTTTTGTTCTGATTTTTATGTTTTAGTTCAGATGAGAAAAGTCCTGCAGTCTGATAAGTTTGTTCTCTGTTGAAAGAAGTTTCACTGTTTTTTTGTCCATAGTGTCCATTGCATGTTTCCTAATCCTTTTTTTTTTACTATAGTGGGATAAGTGTGTTGTCTGATGCTATGATTTTATATTGAACTCAACAGGCTGATCCTGAACTAGCCCAAGTTATTCTTGGAAATGATCTCAACAAACTCCAGGACCTTTTAAGGCAACGCCATTGTCAAAGATCTGAATTACGTCGTCAGCAAGAAGAGGAGTTTGTGAGTACTTAGCTTTTACTGATGGTTAACAACCTTATCTGTTGTATCATGCCCTTTAATCTTAAGAACATTCCATATGTAATATTGTTCTTTCAATTGCAATTTGATTGTAATGTTGGCTGAAGGAGCTAATTTACCTATATTCTGTCTGGTAGGCCCTCCTTGAAGCAGATCCCTTTGATGTAGAGGCACAGAAGAAAATCGAAGCTGCCATTCGTCAGGTGAGTATAATTTAATTCCTTAATTGTAAAGATTATTAGGCAGCGACCTGTTAAATGTTTTTGGACATCTGTATCCTTTTGTATTTTACTGGCAACAGTGATTGTGCAACTAATAAGAAGTCAAGAATGAGGTTTATCCTTTTCATTTCTTTTTTATTTTTTTAATGGTATGCAAGAACATGATGAGTGTCTGCCGCTTTCATTTCTGTGAGGATAATTCTCTTTTAGGGTTGTTATAAATAAATATAGGTTTTTGTATCTAGTTTCCACTCAAAGGCTTTCACTACCAATATTATCACGGGCATGCGATTTTTTCCCAGATGCCTTTTTCTTTGTGTCTTTTTTGATGTTTTCCATTCCTGCTAACTACAAATGCAGAAAGGAATCGATGAGAACTGGGCAGCGGCCTTGGAATACAACCCTGAAGCTTTTGCCAGAGTGGTACATGTGCTTTTCAACCTTGTGTTCTACAATCAAAATTTGATTATTGGTTTTAAATTTCAATTTTCATTTTTCAACTTTCAGATTATGCTGTACGTTGATATGGAAGTTAATGGTGTCCCTTTAAAGGTAGAGACAGTCTTTTGTAATATCTTTGAATACATGCTGTTTGATATACGGTCCAGGTATTCTTTCAGTGTAATCATGATTTTGGTTTGTTTCTCTTGTTATTTTCATTTGTTCCCCGAAACAGCTCACATCATGGGACTAGGACCATCACCAAAATTTTCTGCACAGTTTGATCAGTTTTCTCTTGCCAGCATTGAGCTGATGTGATTATGCTCAATCAAAACTTTTAGACATACCAATTTTTCTTTTTGTTTCAGGCATTCGTTGATAGTGGTGCTCAGTCCACAATAATATCAAAAAGCTGTGCTGAGCGATGTGGGTATGTGCTATTCTTGTGCATCTGTTCATTTTACTATTGGTCAACTCTTGAGGTTATATTGTTTGATCTATAAGCATGAGATATAGGCCTACCCAAGTCCTTAAAGTTGGTTCTTTTCAACTTATCTCTTATAACAAAGTTGGTTTCTAGTGCTTGCATTTCTCTCTAATTAGCATTGACATATGTTAATTTAATGCTTCCTTGCAGTACTTTCTCTTTAGTGATGTTGATGTTACAGTTCATATGTTTGCTAGATATTAACATGGAGAACAACCTGTTTTGTCGTTGGCTTGTCTATTCAGAATGTTAAGACTTCTAGATCAACGCTATAAAGGCATTGCCCATGGAGTTGGACAATCAGAGATATTGGGTCGTATTCATGTAGCTCCAATCAAGGTACATCACTGGGGAAACATTTCTTGGTTAAAGTCTCATGTTGTGTGGTCATACATGCAATTTTTACTTAGTGCCATTAGTGTTGCTACATGCTTGCTTGAATGTATATGTATTTGCTCAGGCACTTGCCTCTGTATATGGGTGTTTCAACACTTGTCTTGCACAGGCAAAACAAATGTCCTTTATCATTTTCTAAGAGAATGAGTGAGACAGAGCTATTTATCAATTCCTAATCTAATACTGGCTGCTTGTATATATATGGTTACTTGACCAGTTTGCACCCCCTATCCTCACTTCTTTGGGATTTTCATTTTGATTTCAGTAATTGACCTCTGTCACTTCTGTCTCCATGCATATCTCCATTAGTTTTCTACAAAAAATTGTGCTGTCTTCAAAATTGTTCTAGATTATTAAGCATGCATGCTTTGATATGCATGAAGCGTTTTTCTTCTTCTTTTTAATCTCTTTACACTCCCATTTTTCTTTATATCACCATGTCTTGTGCCCCTGTTTGTCCGAAGAATGTTTCTTGTACTTTCTTTTGTTTGCTGTTGTTGCTGTTACTCTCAACACAATGTGCTTAAAGCTGACGCTAATTTCTTTGTTTTTGTCTGTTTGTTCATCTAGATTGGGAATATATTTTATCCTTGTTCCTTCATGGTACTGGATTCTCCTAATATGGAATTCCTCTTTGGGCTTGATATGCTTCGCAAGCACCAGGTAGCACCAGCACTTTCTCTTCTATTTGATGGCTATTTGGACCTTTCACTGTTGAAAGTTTGTCTGGATGAATTTGTTTTAATTTTAGCCTGTTGATGCAGTGTATTATTGATCTAAAGGAGAATGTTCTGAGAGTGGGTGGTGGTGAAGTTTCTGTCCCATTTTTACAAGGTTGATCTTCCATCTTCTGCGTTTGCTTGTTATTTGTAATGATGACTGTATTTCTTTGATATGCTTGATTTCTTTTGGTAATCTGGGTAAGCATTCAAGTCATGGTCAATTCTTTTTTCATTCGATAAATTAAAGTGTTGTTGTTTTAGAAAAGGACATTCCACCTCGTTTTCTTGATGAAGAGAGGTATTCAAAAGAAGCATCCAGCTCAGGAAACCCAGTAAGTCTTATCTTCAGTTATACGTTAGTACTGAAACAGATCCTTGTTAATGGTATGTGCTACTTAATCTGTGATTTTATGAACTGTTTTCAAACACTAAAGAAATCCCCTACTGTTTGAGCCTCTTGTGTACTTCAATTTTGGACAGTTTCTGAAATGGGGACACTATACATGTATCTAAGGATATTGTTGTTATAGTTAACTGAAGTTCTTTAACGTATTGTTGTATTTTGCTATGTGGGCTTTACAGAAGAGAAACACTTAAAGAGTTAACATTGCATTCCTGTTTTTCAAGCAATGTCTTGGAGCTTTACAGAAGAAAAAGCCTTGGAAAATTATTTGGTCATCTCAAACATAAAACATATGATTTTATGAATTGATGCTGATAGTTGCTGCTAATGTGAAAGCTAAAGTTTTGGCATTGATCCTCTTGATGTTTTCAGGTGACATCAGGAAAAGTGGAGAAGAAGAATGATCCACTGGCCGTGGGTCAATCGTCTGGTTAGTTTGTGATATGATATATAATAAATATTGTCTAGCATTCTGCTTTTATTTTCAACATACTGGTTCGATCATATGTAATCTAGGTAGATGTTGGTTCATAAATTATGCCATTGTAAATAGCTGTGTTTTAATCATTATAGATCTTGTTTTAAAATACCAAGGTGGTCCACAAATTTGATTTCCAGATGGTGTCTAAATCTTTTCTTTCTTCCTGTTGTGTTCCACAGGGGGCGCACGCAGCAGTGTGACACAGGTATATCTTTTTTCTTCCCGTGGAAAATTTAGTCTAAGCTTTGCTTCAACAGTTGGTTTCCTTCAATATTCTCAAGTTGATCCCGCATTTTGTTAAACATTTCACTTCATCAATCGTAACATATTCACTCTATCAGCCAATTTGAATGTCAATAATAGTTTTCTCACATATTTGCTGCCAGGGACCTGACTTTGAAGCCAAAGTTGCAAAGCTTGTTGAGCTGGGGTTTGGAAGAGAGGCAGTTACACAAGCTCTTAAATTATTTGATGGAAATGAAGAACAGGCTGCTGGGTTTCTTTTTGGCGGCTGAATAACAATTATTCATTCTTTCAACAATATTATTCATGGGAACAATATTCATTTTAGTTATCCATTGACTTTACAAATTGAAGAAACTTTGTGCCAAACTCATTCATTCGAACAACAATCTTAAACCCTCAAACAACCCTGCGATTGGCTTATCAAAAACAACAGGAGTCGAGTGATTTGCATTGAGTTTTGCCGTTTCCACGTTTCACAACCAATTACCTACTATTGAAACAATAATTCACTATCATGCATGCTCACTATTAACATGGCCATGATGCCTTCAGTTGACAACATGGCTCTCTATTAGATACACGTAAGCTACCATGCAGTTGTCTGAATTCAATTTCTCAAGTTATTCCAAGTAGGAGCAAAATTGCTGATCAACGAACACCAGGGTAACAAGGCATCAATAATTGGTGATTTATGTTTTTAAGAGATGCCATATGAGCATGGAGCAGTACGCACCATGAAGCTGCTTAAATTGAACAGCGCGTTATGCCAACAGTAAGCAAATAATCCATTGTCATATGCATAAGGTCAAAAAATTCATTTGCAAACCAGCAAGGCGTACAAGTTAAATCCATTAGCAAGTACAAGTGTGAAATTAATTCCTTTATTGTGAATGTTTTTTGACAACCGATGCAGCATCTCCACAGGAAAATTTCATGCCAAATTACACTCTGGCACTCAGCATTACAAAAATAACATGTAATCTCAATTCGCCAAGCAACACAAACAAAAATGATCAGAATCTCTCAGCCAATCTAGCTGTAACTTGTCTAAGTTTTGAGTATACCTTTCCAGCAGGGGACCCTAAGATGAGGCTGCAAAGAGAATCCCTTGCAACTTTGATATTTTGAAAAGATCCTAATATGTGAATCTTGGTGTCAGCAATCACAATCCTTGTCTTGGTAGCGTTCTCAATGGCAAACTTTGTTTTGCCACCTTTACCAGACAGTCTCCCAATGGCCCGAGACAAATGCTCACCTCGAAGAGTTTTAACATCTTTTATTTCAAAAGATTCAACATATAGCTCGTCCAAACGCAAAAGAGCAATAGCATCTATCACATCAAAACCTAGCATAAAAGCATGCACGAAATCAGCACACTTTTGCAGGTTACTGACATCGGGCGTGTCTGATCTAGTTTTCAACTCAACCTTCCTAGCTTTGAGGTTCATACGGACATCAATCTTCATTTGCTCATATATTGGAGTGTAGATTTCCATCCATGCTTTCTTCAGAGGTGAATACCGATGTGGTGGAACCGAGACTTTTCTAAACTGAACTCGACCATCAGACATCTCATGAGCCTTCAAAGGCTTAAACTTTGGCTTTGCTGGCAAAGCTCCCTGAGACTTATGTTCACTGGTTTCAACTTCCATTGATGCAGGGGCTTTGCTGGACTGCATTCTGACTGCACCTAATCCTGCTTCAAAATAAAATACATAAAAGTTTGATTTTTGAAAACAAAGTCAATTAGCATAAACAAAATCATTCAATTTGCTTTAACACCACAATTTGTAACATTCACATGGAAAAAAACATTGAATTCACAGAAGATCAAAACTTGAGGTATTAGATACAAAACAAGTTCAGACAGTATCTTGAAGAAACAGAAACAATACACAAGGGATATACTAGTATTAACCATTAAATCAGATAACAATACTCAAATTTTCATTTATACCACAAGAAAAATAAAATAAAATAAAAATAGAACCAATTAACAGAAAAAACCTAAAAAATCTAAGATAGGAATCCGACAAACAAACCCCTCAAATAAAGTTTTCATCTTTCCATAGAAATTTTAGACTTTTCCCATCAACCAGACTGACTGGTAAAGAAACATAAACAATCCTCAACAAGAAGAATAGAAACAATGAACATAAAAAACCTCAAAAACACATTTAAGATATCACACCAGACGAACAAACCTTCCAATTCTATAGAAAGTTCAGATATTTCCCATTAACCATACTGATAAAAAGAATAAGAAAAATCCAAACTCCTCAGTTGTTCTTAAAAAGAAAATCCCATATAAAAAACAGCACGGAAAACCTAGAAGAAGAGAGTTAACCTTTTTCCCTCTGTTTGTGGCTGCAAAGCTTGAAACTTTCTCCAGGGGTTCAAGATTAAGGTTTTTGTGTGTTGAAAAGACCTTCACCACGTGTCAAGAGCTCACTGGTTTGTTTGCTAATAAAACAACCGGCATTGTTTTTTTCCTAAGTGGGCTTGGACCTAATTTAGGCCTAACTTATAGGTCCAAACTAATTTTTAATTTGGACCAAATTGTAGTAATATTGTGTATTAAAATTCGTATTGAATCGGATTTTTTTATTAGTTTCGTTAATATTATTAAATATATTCATGTTGAAGCGAAGAATTAGTTTGATGATTAAAAAAATTTGTTGGTTTTTTTTAAATATTAAAGTTTAAATTAAATTAAATTAGATTATGAAAGGTAAGACCTTTTAAGTTGGATATGAATAGTCTATTTTTTACAACAAAGTTTTCGAATTGCTGATTCTTTCCTCTATGCTGCCTAATGGGTGTTAGTGGGGCAGGATTATAAATTTAATCATGTCTGTCGAGAACACATTTTCCTTAAAATTTTTAATATTTTTTCATTTTTTACATTTTAAAACAAAATAAGATAAAAAAAGACAATGTCAAAACAACATAGATGTTTTGCATTTATAAATTCTAATATTTGTATACTAGACTTAGTTACTTCTTATGCTTTAGCAAGTAGCATTTTGGCCACAAATTTCCTATGGCAAGCTTGCAGGATGACGATGATTGAAGAAAAAGGAACGAAGAAGTTGAAGAACGAAGATGAAAAATGCATGTTTCATGTGCTCAATCTCTCAGTCAAGAGTGACCTTGGTTGAGTTATCCTCCATCGTGTGATCTGTGAAGCGGATTTGACGTCGTCACTACAAGTTTTAGTTGCAACACTTGCTCCCTTTAATGAAAGGATTGTATTTTCACTGAAGTTTGCCTCCTTCTGAAGTGATTCGAGAGCAGGGAAGTATGAAACACGGGAAAACAGAGAATTGGAAATAAAGAGAAATGATAAAACATGGTGATCCTTGCCTTTCAAGGCTTCCATTTGAGCTTCACTGAGGAATGCAGCAAAGCCATTGAAACTTCTAGTGTAAATCATTGGATCCTCGACCAGCGCTTTTCTGCATAAGAAATATAGCAGTAATGAATAAGGTGTGGTTCAAACCAGAGAATTTCCATAACTTTTCGACAATGCAAACCTGTCCAAGAGTGATCCTAGCAGACCAAAGTGTGAATCTTGTCAATTTTTGAACATCTTATTGTGAGAGACTCTCACCTTGTAAACTATATAAGACTGCATGAAAGAAAAACCATCAACTCCACCAGCAGTACTTCATTTCAATATGCTCTGCTTTTCCCCTGTTCTTAAGCTCTGTTTTCTTTTTACTATTTTTAGAGGTCAATCAATTTGTACTCCTATTTTTTTGGAGAATTCTTACCTTTGATGGAAAGAGAGTGATTCAAGCGCCAAATTTTAAATTCTCAACATTTTATCCATCTTTTTCAGGTTTAAATTAGTTATGATCTTAACAATCAAAACCAACGAACAACAAACACAAAGCTGACAGTTTCCAGATACATAGAATAACTAGATAAAGAAAGGAATTGGTATGTTATCTAAAAGCTAAAGAAGAGAAAATGTTTGAAGTTTTTTTTGGTTATAAACTTAGAATGCGATTCTTTTAGGTCAGGTGCTAAGAAAGGTGGGGTTTTGGTCATGATCATAGGCTAAGCCTAAGGTTTCAATATTTTGGATTCAAGTAGAGTTTGAGAAATGCTGGTGCTGAATTCTTAGAAGATGAGCTAGGAAAAGGTCCCAACCATACTTTGTGACATTATGAATTCATTGCAATTGTTTCCTTTGATATGCATTCTTTCATGATAAGGGTTTATGAATATTCTAGTGTAACCTCACATAGGGTGAGGCATCAAGCATCTTGGTTTTTGATTTTGTGAAGAGCAAAAAAAAAAAAAAAAAAAAAAAAAGAGTGAAAGATCTTGTTTGAGTATAAACTCTTGCTATTAGGAAGTAGAAATGTGATTTCATTGAGACATCTTTTCTTTCAGGGAAAAAAATAAGCATCATTATCCAAAGAATTGATCTATCAGGTTTCTACACAGAAAATAGGGGCTCTGAACAGAAATCAGCTTGAATGGACCCGCTGTTTCAATGACTCCAGTAAGGCCTCACCACCAGAGGACTCCTGACGAAGTGCTTACCGTCGGACCATGTCAATATCCCAAATGTATAATCTTTAAGCTTCCATTTTGGGGCAAGTTTGAATGTAACCTTAAATGTCTTCTCCTCACCTAGTTTCTTAAAATCCAAGGTGGTAGGCGTTACCGAAACTAACACTCCGGTTGGTTCCCTGACATGGATATAGTATTTGCCAGGAGAGCCAACATTTTTAACTCTTCGACTAACTGTTATGGTGTCATTAAGATTAATTGCTGAGATTGAAGGATAGTTGAAGTCTGTCAAACTGAATGACTTTGGACAAGTGTATGGCTTATCTGTGAATAATTTCAGGTCTTTTGCAGTATAGCCTCGGCTGCATAAATAATTCAAGAAATCATTAACAGTGAGATCATAAACTAGACCAGGATCTGATGCACGGTTTGGCTGCACATGTCCTGCACCGTATGCAAATGGAGTTGCCCTGGTGTTGGACGAATCCAATATTGGATCCCCATTGTTATCTCTTGTTGTTGCTGTGGATGAAATCAATTAGTAAGACAATGATCAATGTCCAAAACGTATTTTATAGCTCTAAAGAAATAGAGAAGGAAAACTGTTCTTTACCAGTTGTCATGATAGCCGATCTGATAGCAGCGGGACTCCAATCTGGATGGAGTGATTTTAGAAGGCCAACAATTCCAGAAACATGAGGGCATGACATTGAAGTGCCAGATTCAGTGTTGAAGGGAATCCTACGCTTATCGTAAGCTGTATCAGTTGGTCCTGTTGCTAGAGTGAAAGCAGCAATTACACTGACACCGGGAGCAGTGATATCAGGCTGAAATGGATAGACCAAGTCATGTTCATTCATCACTGTATAATGCAAGGCCAACAATAGCACAGACAGATTGACCGAGAAAAATAACAATGAAGAACTACTAAAACAAACCTTGAGGATTGATTCTTCAAGGATATTAGGCCCCCTAGATGAGAAAGAAGCCATAAATGGAGCTGGCTTTGTTCCCAATTCTGTCCTTACATTGGTGATATATGCCCAAGGGTCCCTGGTTTACATGCAGATACGATCCCGCTAAAATATCGGATTTGTCAAGCTCAAAGATATTTCTTGGTTTAGTTGATATGAACTTACTTGGTAGAATTGAGGTAGGAAAAGACAGCTTGACCATCTTTAGAGATGATGTGTGCAGCAGGAAGTACATGAGCGTCAGCAAGAATGCCATTGCCAGATTCTTCATCATTAGCCAAAATCATCCCAACAGCCCCAGCAAGAAGAGCTACATGTCCCTTTTCTACTCTTGGATTTATCCCTCGAAGACATACCAATATCTTCCCTTTGACCTTTTTGGAATCAAGTGTTCCAGGTTTGCAAAGGTTGCTGCAAAATTTCATGCAATTACCACCTTAGGGCAATGCTATAGCAAAAAGCTTAGGGATTCATAAGTTTAGTATGGAAATATTTCAAGCATCCACAGATTTGAGGTGATACTTACGCATCTTCTTCAGACTGATTAGAAGCCTTTGCCCGTGCACCACTGATCAATGGATAGAATTTTCTAGCAGGCAAGCTTTTTTGTGAAAGACTTACTCCCTAGCAAAGAGAACAAGATGATTAGTTAGAGAAAACTCAACTTGTGTAAACTACAAGGTAATTCAATGTTGTGAAAAACGATCCTAGCCAGTACTGAACTGGTAAGAAATCCATCATGAAAGACTGTTAAAAGAACAGAGAGATTAGCCAAAGAAGCTCTCTCCTCGAGTTTCCTTTTGATTACCCTCCAAAACTATAATTTGTAGAAGGTAAAAAACGAATTATGGAGAGGGAAAAAGAAAATAACCTTGAGGTGCTTCCTGTTTCCAAGTGCAACATAGATTGTGAAGGCACGATCAAGTGTGCTGGCACCAACTGTTATCAGCCAAGGTGCCACATTTGATACCGATCCTGGTCCTGGTCCTGAATTGCCAGCAGAGGCAACCACAGTAATACCCTTCTTGAAAGCATGGAAAGAACCGATTGCAATAGCATCATCCGAGTATTCATCGATGGCCCCACCCAGGGAAACTGAGAGCACGTCAACGCCATCGCTTATGGCAACATCGAAGCCAGCCAAGATGTCTGCTTCATAGCATCCACCCTCATTCACACCTACAGCTGGCCAGCATACCTTGTAAGCTGCTACACGGGCACGAGGTGATCCGCCCTTGGCAGTTCCCTTGCCATTACCAAAGACATTAGCTCCTGGAACAAAATTACCAGCTGCTGTTGATAGGGTATGAGTTCCATGGCCCTCAATATCGCGTGCAGTTTGAAAGCTGGAGTTGAGATGGCCACCAAGTGAACCATAACCCTTGTTGAAGTACCTGGCTCCAATCAGCTTCCTAATTTTTTGGCAGCAATAGGAGACAAGATAGTAAGGCAAAAGGTGAAGATTTGCATGCCATATGGGAGAATGCAAGGCCAGGCCCTGGTAAAATCTTGAGTATCATTTGAGCCCTAATCGCTAAAAATGCACGAAAGCATGACAACATTGTGCTTGCAAGTTAGCACTGACAGACGATTGAGAGCATAGTGTGTCACGGTGACTTTTACTGAGATACAAAACCAATCTTAACTTCAGAACAGAAATCACATTTTTACAGGAATAAAAACTCTCAAATTCGAACCCATGTACATAACAAGCAGTAATGACTTGCAATACAAAGCACTATCCCCCACTATACTTAAATTCGCAAACAGAAAGTTGAGGTCCTCGAGAGTGATGTCAAAATCCATACGCCGTTTGAAAAATGTGAACCTTTTTCCAATTTCTCATATGTTATGCAAAAGTGAAGTCTTGACCTACAATTTCTTCCACATAAACAAACAACATTCACAATTGTGAAGTCATATATAAGGT